TATGGCAGCCGTCACTTTTCTTGTGCAATAAACTATCTTTGGAGATCAGAGTATTGTCTTGGGAGCGCTATACTTGGTTTAGATATTTACAAATCTTCTTGAAATGTATTTCGTTTAATGTAAGTGTTTGATATTTTGTGATTAGGTAGGACATAAAGATATCCTCAAAAACTTTTTGAGCTGCAACATTTTTAAATTGTATGTTTCCGATTTTCGATAATTTATAGGTTTGCTATATAAAATTTCGTCAATAAGTCCCTTTAACACATTCAGTGCCCCCGACGCGTATGAATTGACGGCACTGAATGTGTTAATGGAGGGCTACACTCTTCATCCATTTGAATTGGAGCTATTTGAAAACTAAGTATATTTCTCAAAACCCGCAAAATTTTATTTAATTTTAACATTATCTAGTTTCCACATACACCAATTTTGGATAATGTGTCTATTATAATATAATTGTTTTTTATTATATTAAGAGAAATAAGGAACGTGATTTTTCCCTTATTTGTTTGTTGGGCTTATTACGTACTAATTAGAACAAAATATACCCTTTTAAATACTGATATAAATGTGTATTGAAAATCGCGGAACCTTGATAAGTTGTACATAATATATTTTAGAAGATAGTACTGAATGAAAAATACCGAACCAATTTTTACACATTATTCACCATTATATGAGATTGAGGTAATTCACATTGTAAGTTAGTGTATAATTTTCGAAGGCTTTGTGAGTATGAGAAAAAATGAGGCCTTGTAAAGGAGGTTTGGGTAGCTGCGGCTGTTGATAACAATAAATTATATATATATATATATATATATATATATATATATATATATATATATAATTTTATCATCACTTTTGATTTAAGCTTCACTTGAGTTACCACTCAAATCAAGTCATTATAATTTGGGTGATTTGGGATGAACGACAATTGTAACAGAAGTCATTTGCAGCGAAATGTCAAATCAGCTTTTACCCACGTCAAGTTTGAAGAGACGCATAGGAAATGTAACCTAATATTCATGAATATTACATATAGATTCTAATATTCATGAATATTAGGTATGTAAAGTGAGAAATGGTATTTCTGATTCGAACTTTCAGGTAAAATTAGTTTTCCAATGATCAGGATTCTGATCGGTTTTGACCGAGGTTTTAATTGAGAAAGACAAGGTCACAGGGATGGTCGGGAAATTGTTGACGTCACTAACCACGGATTGTACATAGATTTTATATCGATTATAACAATATAATAGATTTTACCTGCGTGGGTAATTGTTTATGACAAGTGGGTATTCTGTGGGGATGTGAAATGTATGGTAATTTTAGTTAATGCTTATGTTCATATTAATTCGTTGAATAACAACCGAGTAGTTGTCTGTTAAAAGGGCGGTGATACGGACAGACGAATGGTGGGCGGAGTTTAATGTTAGAAACAGTTTGTGCTTTTATGTATGTGAGACGGTGTTTATTTCAAATTACATACATATGTACCTATGCATATCTGTATGTTTAGCTCATTATGTACCTAATTATAAATTGCATTCTTTCATTCATGATTTGGATGATAACAATAATTTTTACCTTTATACCTCTCTTATAACCTATTTCAACCCTTCATATAATAATTTCCCCATAAACATATGTGGTACATAGTTCCTACAAATTTTGTTATATATTCAAATTTACTTATCAGATAGGGACTACATAGATATTTTGAAACAAATAGATTATCATTGACTCTTGACTTTTTAGAAGTCAAGTTGTTAGGACCTTGACTTTCCTTTTTAATTCAATGTTAAATTTGTGTCTAAAATATACTGAACAATGAGCTGTTAGAGGCCAGTCTATTAAACATCAGGCTAAAGGTGTGTTAAAATATGTGAACCTAGTGCCGACCTTTTCGGAGAAAGGGTTATAAAACGTTATATTTGTCATTGCATTATTTATTTAATATCTTACTCAGTGTTTCACTGAGGGTAAGTTCACTCCGTTCTATTCCGGCTACACGTGGCAGTATAACTGGAACGCGAACTTTTTATTCTTCGTAAATATTAGAATTCAAATAAAATCGGCATTGGAACGAAAAATCTCGATATAACAATTTTTCATTTTACCTCGAGACGTTTGGAATGTGTGGCTACAGACAAGCACAATATTTTATGGTATTTTTATATCTTTTGCGAACGATATTTGCCATTTTCTAGACAGTGTTCAACCTTTATTCTTCAACGAATACATTGCACACGAATTTGATATGATTTATAATGCTTCTTGTGAATTTTGATGAATTTGAATTGAAATGTAAATACAAGTAATAAGCTATTTATCTATTACATTGGAAACATAATGAGAGTTTAAGTGAGCTTATAGGATATTGCCATTTTACGGCGTTAAAGATGATGATGATGATGATGAAAACCAGCGTAACGCAACACTTACGTTGTGTGTCGCCATGTACCTACCGACGGCATAATCCCCCCACAATCCTCAAATCCCCTATATCCTTCGATCCCTTACAACCCACAAGTCGAGTGTTATCGGGCCGCGCCAATTGCTTAACATCAGGTAATACGTCTGCTCGTTTACCGACCCACGACACAAAAAAAAAACAGTAGTGAAATAAGTATCATTTTCGACTTTATTCGAAAATTTATTTAACTTAAGTATGACTCGGAACTTGTTTAGTTCCCTTTTTAGTGTTTCCGTGTAACTTTTAGAAAAGAGCTGGGTATACTTCTCTCACTTACTTAGAACTGATACCACTGCATTATTTACTCGTACAGTGCTAAGATTTTTCTTTGAATCGTTGAAAACCGTGGAAGTATAAATATTTTTTATAGAAAATGTACCTAAAAAAAAATTAGTTCAAAGTCAAAGTGAAGAACAGCTATGGGAAAAAATGTTTTAAGTGTGGGAGAGCCAAGCTTCGGCACGAATGGGTCGGCTCGACCGGAGTGATACCACGGCCTCACAGAATACCGGCGTGAAACAACCTAGCGTTGTGTTTCGCCGTGTGAGTGAGGTTTTCGGAGGCCCAATCCCTCTCCGTCCCGTTCCTTTTATCCGCAACCCCTATCCACAAAAGGCCGGCAACGCACTCGAAACTCATTTGGTGTTGCTGGTGTCCATGGGCGGCGCCGATTGCTTACCATCAGGTAATCCGTCAGCTCGTTTGCCGACTTATACCATTAAAAAAAGGCGTTTTTTCAGAGCCAGTAACCGACTGCTACGCAACGTGTTGCGGGTTCGATTTCCGCACAAAACAACTTTGTGTGCAATGTGTATTTGTATTTGTATGTTTGTAAACGAACCTATGGCACAAAAAAGGATACTGATGTCACATATTTAAATCTGGTGAGGCAAAATGTATATGCATCAAGAAGTAATTTTTTTAAAGGAAGATGTCATAAGATACCTATTTCTGAGCAACATGAGAATTAAAAATGAGTCACGCAGTCGCGGAACTGTTGTCGCTCAATCAATGACGCTATTAAAAATATTGATGGAATGGAGAAAATAGGGCCTGATGGCATTGAACACTGTTAACCTCTAGATATGTTAATAGCAAAGGGAAGTGAGCTGTCTGAAAACTAGATATGTTGAATATCAGGAGGGCAATGAGTGTAAAGTACGCGATTGCATATGTTAGTGGGTCACGGAGTGAAGCCATTAATCGCGACCCTCCCACCGCCGCACGCTCACGCTAAGATCTATCGATACTTGTACAGAGTTATAGTCAATTACGCAGTATTGTTGTCTATTTCTAGGCGAACTCACATATTTATTTATTAGCTTAGATCGTGCAATAAAATAATGGCGTCAATGCATGGCCATCACGTTATACGTAGTGTAGAAGTTATTTTCACTAGACATACCAACATAGCTGTAAAGCGTTAAGATGGAATTAAATCGTAGAGCGTGGCAATGTTTTTTTTTTAAATAAAAAATTAAATGATTTCTGATCTAATTTATCACTAACTAGCTACTCTCATGCTGTTTCACCCGCTGCTGCTTCATTTGATTATAGCGTGATGTTTTATAGCCTATAGCACTCAGGAACATTTTAGCTATCTATCAGTGAAAGAATTTTGGCAATCCGACTAGCGGTTCCAAAGATTACCCCTTACCCTTCATACAAACTTACAAATTTTACCTCTTTATAATATTAAGTTTAGATAAATGAAATATTTTAACTAAAACTATGTTTGTTAATAATTAAGCAGGTATGCTTATTATTTCCATAAGTGGAAACAACTAGTTGCGAGTGAACCTAAAGTATTGACTAATGCCGTCAAGTTACCATCCCTATCGAGTTATGAAAGCTCGTAACCTTATGATGGGGTGTAACAACATTGCAGAAATTATTCGAAGAAAATGACTTGAGAATGGAACGGTAAACAGTATAATTATGTAGTGAAGTAGGTTCTTTAAAAATCTCTATACTCAAATTGTTCCTGCATAATACTGGATAATAAAACATTGAGGTTGTTAGTTGTTCCAATTATAGTTATAATAATATTAGTTACCCACTATATACGAAACATTTTCAGCCATAAAATGTCTGCACAGAATATGTGTTTATAATTCCTACACAACATCCGCAGTTTATGTGTAAAATCCAAGTGAATTCAGCTACAATAAGATAAGAAAATGTATAATTCAATGAAAGCCAAATCGAATTTGACACTTAGAATAATCTTGTCAAAATAAGTTTTTCAAATGCTGAAGCGAATGTATATGGATGGGTGGAAATAAAAAATATTTTTGAGCTGAACTCCCGGCATTTTTGTCGTACTGCGAAATCACTCTAGTACTCGACAAACTGACGACCGATCCACTAAAACACTTTTTCAACTTTTATGGGAACTGCGAGCGCGTTGCAAACGAGTTACGACAGATGTTTAATACCATTTGGGGAGGACGATACGCCGACGATTCCCACTCCTTGCTCCCATAAAAACATTCTTATTATTAATGCATAAGGTACTTACTCTTCCAATCGATGAACTCCTCCAAGTTCTGTGGCTTCTCAGCCCATTGCAGGTACTCGAAGGCTTCATCCGGGATGTTTGCGATGCAGAACCCCTTTAGGTCTGGCACACCATTTCTTGAATACTCGGCCAGTAGATCTGACAGCTCCAGATTAAGCTAAAACATAAAGACATTTAAGAAAATGCACAATTTAAATCAAGGTAAAACTCGTATTCAACTTCGTTGTACTCTGTTATAGTTGGACATTCAATTTAGTTATGTTCACACGTTTTTGCAACGTCATTTGTTTCTGTAACAGCACAGTATCGAGGTCATATAGTAATGGCGGAACTTGCTTATATTCTCGATGAATTACGCATAACCATATCAATCAATCCCATATCATATTGTGGACAATAATGTGTCGCAATAATTAGATGTGAGACGACATTTGCCGTATAGTTCAATAATTTCACATGCTTGCTTTTTGAACCTCTCGTCTTTATGGCAAAATACGTTTACTTATTTATGAAGATTTCCAGTAAGTCAAGACAAAATAAATATAAACGTTAGCACAGAGAAGCGAGGCTGTCAATATAATCGCTATACTTATCTCTTAAATTAAGATTTTCTGAATGATCGATAGCTGATGATTTAATTTTGATAAAGCACCTGCGGTAATGAGTTTGTGTATGGGTTTATATATTATGAATATATTTGTGTATTAACTAAATAACGTTGGACAAGCAAATTGAGTTATCCAGCAACAACATTGATTGTAAATAATAGGTATCTATTCTACTCACACAAACAGGTCTATATGATGCATATACATACTTGAACATGCAACATTTAACAACACAACATAAAGTATGCATGCTTTTATAGTGCTGTGGAATTCTTACCTATCGAAGGGAGATTTAGTTTCAACATTTTAGTATATAGACGTACCTAAACATCATATTTACAAACCTTTTTTTGTAAATTATAGTTCTTAAAATGAAATCAAAAAATAAATCAAATCTTATGTAGATGACACAAGATTTGATTTCAGTATGCGACAGGCATTCCTCGCCAATATAAATACCATAAATAATAAACAATTCCAATAAGCCCCTTTAATAGCCATCTTAATGATTGGAAGTAGCGTTCTCAGGTTGGTTTGTGTTTGTCATTTATAGTAGCACGTTATATGCTATTTTGTACCAAAACCTAATCAAATCCGTTTCTTGTTTGTGGCCAGAAGACAATGCTGGCGAATGAATAGGAACATCATTTTTGTATACCAAGTACACCGTAAGAATGGTGTTTTGAAGAGCTAATATAAAACGGCGTCTATTCTATTAAAACAACTTAAAAAACCGTTCAGCGTGACACTTGACTTTGCCCAACCACTCAGCGGCTCCCGGCCTTCAAGGGCGATGCGGGGGCGATCCTTCCGAAGTTATTTAATATCGAGGGCCGACGCCAAATAAGCTCGGCTTCCGCCGAGCAGCTAAAGGCTGAGTTTCATTTGTATTACTACATTCATGAAGCACTTTCGGTCATGTATAAAAATAACTAGATAAGTATAATAGCAAGCCTACCAGACGAGTTTTAGTTTTATTCTGATATAAAATAGTTTCAGCTCAAATCGATATTGCTTTAACCGCAATAATCGCGCAACTATGCATAGGCACGCACTACTCTAACCTTTTGTTTTGGAAAGTACTCCGACGACATATCTGAATATTATAACGCTGATACTTAATACTCCATTGGCATTCTTACAGAGTAAGAGGAACTCCTACTGGTTGAGACTATATTAAGACAGGATGTTAGACTGATTTGCTTAGTGCGCTAGCGTCGGTCGCGTAAATCAGTCGTGAGGAGCAATATACAGGCACTTCTTTAGATTACTGTAGTGAATTGGTATCGTATGCAGCGCACGATGATTGCTTGGGATTTATTCAACAATGCAGACATGTACAAAGTGTTAGCTTGTGTTTCTTGCATAAAACATGGTTGTTTTTAATATCGAGCTTAATTCTAAATAATTGAGACAACTTTACTCAGCACTGGATTGCTGAGTTTTCACAATGCCGTAGGAAAAATTGGTACTAAACAATTTTTTTTATCTTTTTAACTGAACATCGCTATGTAAGTTGCATTTGAGTATTTGTGATCGGGAGGATCATCTTAGTCCGCCCAATGAGGCATTCCTGCGTACGTAATGTAACCTGTGACGTATGGGTATGTAAATAGACGGATCCGTTGTCATGATGAATGACGGTACACATGAAACTGACGAAGTACGTTCTTTGACGTGCATTGTGGGAGTAACAAATGAACTGCGCGGTGAGACGATAGGTGTTCCCTGTCTGTTAGTATTAGATTCAAGTACCTACGTGACCGATTACAGTGTAACTATAATCCAACTTACACCAATCACTTTCTTCACCTGGATAATATACACTTATACATCAACATTAAATCATATCTTGGATACAAATTACTTTGACTTTAAAGTACCAAGAGTTTAGCTTCTTTTATTAAAGTCTGTTTTTATTACCTACTTTCTAGAGGTTAGTATATTCATTAATACTTTAATTCTTATATGTATGATGTCATGGATCACAAAACCAAATAGGTGCGGAAAAATGTTGAAATCCCGCGAGATTTGAGGATAACATCACGGATGTGAGAAAGGTTTTAAAAATATTTCCATGACAAACAAATCACGATGAATTCAACACGCGGCAGTATTTCGAAACGAATATTTTTGCTGTGCACATCAATATAAAAACACGTTTCATGGTACTTTCACCAACACATAAATCAAGTTGAAAGTATCTCCTAGCCACTTAAACAATTCGTAGCGAATCGTAGCGGGTGACGTAGCACCGGCTACGACGTAGCAGACGATGATTTAGGGCGGCTTGCGCATCGTCGTTAAATACAGTTTAAGAGCGACGTAAACGCATTTAGTCTGCTAATTATATTTAGCGTCTTGCACAACAAAAATTTAGGCACTAATCACGTTTAACGAACTGTCAAAGTTAAATACCCAAAGATGGCTATTTAGCGTCGCTAAATACGTTTAGTACCTAGCAATCGCGCGTCATCATTTTGAGGTTAAAGGAATTTTACGATTATTTTAAGATTTTAAAGAGTTCGGTAGGAAGTTTGTAAGATGGATTTGTGGGAATTGTATTCTGACGACGATGAGGAGATTATAGAATATATCAACAATAGCACGAGACGCTTCACAAATCACAACAAAACTTTGAGTGACTTGACAGCTCGGTTGACTTGATGTGACAGTTGAAAGCTCGTCGGTCCATTTCACGATTTTTTTTTTAAGAAATGCATCCATTTTGCTCTAAATCAAGTGTACAACGCACGAAAACGTAAAAAGGAACGCAAGTAACTGCTTTACCGACTCCCTAACTACGATTAGTTAAATTACTATCCAAACGGACGTGAGCAAGACCTTTTTAATTGTATTTAGGCTAAACATATTTAGCAAGATAAACGCATTTAACTAAATTCTGTTTAGACCAAATGTTGCGCAAGCCGCCCTTAATGTTGTAGTATGTTTGTTTTCTCGTTTCCTTTCTAGGTTATTATTTAGTACTAGAATACTAGCTGACCCTATATACTTCGTTCTGAATTATTTTTTATGTAAAAAATAAAAAAAGAATCAAACGACGTTCTAAAGCTTTATTTATTTATTGGCGCTTTCCATTTATGGACATGCAGTCTGCCTCATATTATTTGGAAGTAAACAACATCCAAGGAATGTAGAAGTAAAGCAAAATAAGAAATATGGATTTAAAAACTTAAAAGAAGTTGCCACGGTGTACAGACATCAAGACTTCTGAGAAAAGCAAAGTTGTCTCGCACAAAGCTTTTGAAACAGCTGTTAATAGAGTTTCCTGGTAAAAAGATACTACAAATGTTTACAACCATAGCATCTATTTACAAGACACAGCTAGTTATGGAAATATTGTGATTTTTTATTTTTATCTCGCTCTGTACAAAGCGAGAAGTTTATCGAAAAGAAAGTTCTACGTCGACCAATTCGTGTAATGGAAACTTGTCTTGTTATATTCAGAAATAGAAAAGTATTATATTCCTTCGCAGTTTGAGGCACCAAAATTTTATATTTTTTCAGTACCGAAAAGTGTCCTACAATTTTAATTTCAAGTAGTTGCTAATTTACACACATTATTAAACATATTTCATTTCTTTGAGTGCGAGTATCTATAGATATAGATGATATAGATATAGATTATAGCTGCTCAGAAGATTCTAAGCAGCTATAATAAAGCTCGTGGTACAAGGCTCGACCTTCTTGCGCTGGCCTTTATATGTGACATTTGGCTTTGTATATCCAATATATCCATAAATGTATAATAACAAACCTTAAGTTATGGTGAATGCAGTAAACAAAAGCAGGCCTAAACTATACAGAAATGAATGAAATATAAAAGCAATAACTTGGAACCCAGCAAAAAGAACGTTTTTTTTATGTAAAGTAAAACTATCTTCATATGTATGCAGGTAGGGTTAAGTTTAAAGATTATAAATGCACTGTCAATACATAAAGAAAGAAAATCTGTGGTACATATAATACCCTTCCAGTGTTAGAGATTGATGACCAAAATCAATGGCCCTTTTAAACCATTCTATGTAAGGAGTTGAGTTGACATGGTATGTTAAAAAAGAATTGATCTCGGAATTTTTGGAAGTTTGATTTCTGGAAGTGGTCACTGTATTACACTAGATATAACAGCAAGTATTAGCAGGTTTCTCGACGTATCGATATTGATTGGGTGTATCCTCCAACCCTGTTAGAATGCAGTTGTAATTACAACTTAATTAGGCGACTTAGTGTGTGCTATTATATTACCAATCAACCTGTGTATCTACAGGTAAGATTGACTTTGAACAACTGAATATTTACTAGGGTTGGTAAAATACAAATAATAATGATACAAGGAGAAAATATGGGAAATTGTACACCGTACACTAACACTCGCTGCCATTATTTTTCAAAACTTAGAAGATCTTGGTTAGATGGTTAATATCGTTATTGATAAATGAGATTTTACGGATGATTATGTAAGTTTTTCTAAATAACTGGATCTACATTACCTCAATTTACGGCACTGGACTGTAAATTCAGGCAGTGA